AACCTGTTTTTCAAATCCGAATTATCTAAATTCGGATTAATCCCGTAGTGTAGACATACCCTAAGATACACGTTGGACCCCCATTACCATCGTTATCGGAGCACCTCACCATCTTTAATGTATTTATTCTCACAACACCCAGTGAGGGAGGTCAGTGCTATTATCCCCATTGTACAGAGAGGCTAAGCACAGTCACACAGGAAGTCTGTGGTGAGGTAAGAATTGCACCCAGGTGTCCCAAGTCCCAGACTAGTGTGCTAACAACTGGACTCAATGTAAATTAGAGAAATGTGACCCTCAAAAGCACCGGATACTCAAGGACTCTGAACTAAAAACTGGCCTGTACGTTTCACTAGGACAAGCTTTTTCCCAGTGACAGAAAGACCAGAGTGACAGCAAGTCACAGTATTTCCCTTTCTGATCCTGTCTAGGGTTGGAAAGATTAGAAGCATCCTAAAATGACTGACCTTCCACTAAGACTCACCCTGATTTTTGAGATCCAGGCTCCTGTGAATGAAGTCCATGATAAAGCATAAATTCATATAAACTGACTCAATTGATATTTGGCTGTATGGAGCATATTGCTGAGGTTCATAAGTAAAACACTTTTCATTTCATTACTGGAAGCAAAATATCAATCTACATCTTTCAGGCTACCTGAGCAATAGATGCACTACTGATCCTGCCAGAGTCCAAGCTATTTATTCTCTGGGGGGAGGGGAAAGGGACAAAAAAGCAAAACAAAAACCAAGAATCAACAGCATGAAGTTTAGGAATTTAAACCCTAAGAGTCAGGAAATTCCAAAGTGAAGGTTCTCACAGTAATTAGCTCATCTGCAATGACATATTGTTCTGAGCAGTCTATGTAGTCAGCCCCCACTCACCCATGCATCACTCGTAAAATGATGTTCTTCAAACACAGCTCTTTCTCCTCCTCTGAGTTGCCATTCCCTCATCTCTCACTACTGTCCCTGCCTTACGCACATTCCACAGGCAAAAATGAGGAGGTTAAGTTCATTCAAATTATTCTCTGTAAATAATTTGGTTGGCTCTAGTAAAATAGATTTGGCTTCCTTCTCTCCTCCTCCATCCAAGCAACTTGGGAAATATATATATATATAACATAATGTGAAACACCTTTCTTTTTCCCCACAGTAGTGAGGGTGCCAAGAAGAGAGATAATACTGCATTGTGCCAACTGAAAAAGAAATTTCAAGGGAAAATTCTGCCAATAAGCTATAAGTTAGTGAGAAGTCATTCTGGAGAATGTTAGGTTATTTTTATATGAATACTTTAATTATCAGAGTCTCAAAAGTGACTGTTCAAGTTGACAGTGTCTCTTTAAGCAACTTGCCAAGGTCACATAGCAAGTCTGTGGCACAGCCAGAAAAGAATACCAGATCTCCCAAGTCAAATCCCAGTCCAGTACCTTGACCACCAGTTTTGCCATTCAGTTAGGAAGTCTTGCACGAGAGCCAACCAATAATAATATGTGGTTTGTGGTATTCAGGCTGCTCTTCATTAACACTTCCTCAGACATATTAAAGGTTAACGATCAGGGATGAAGAATTGGTTCTTTAAAATTAAAAAAAGATGCAAAGGTTGCCGAACATTTCGAACAATCCTGCACTATTAAACCAGGCATGGATTTCAAGGTTTAAAGCAGTACCCCCCAAAATGAATCCAATATAAGTATGCAAAACCCATCAAACACCAACCAGATATCCTGCTGGGAAAACTAACATCATAAGGAGCCAGGCACAGTGTAGGCATTATATAAGTTTCTCCAGACAGCTCAGCTTCTGGCAATGCACCTCAGCTTTGACCTGCAGAACCCCTTGATGTCTATGTCATCCTGAGTCTCTACTGGGGAAAAAAAAAGTTGCAGGCTAACAAATACAAAATAGGCCCCTGATCCTGCCAATCCTATCCCTGCAGCAAACCCCGCACACACACAGTCCCATTGATTGCAATAAGAGTCCTTGCAAGAACCAGGAATAGGTCCACATTTTTTGATTGCAGGATCACATATAAACAAGTAGGGGGTACCCGCCAATACGCAGTACCGGCAAGAGATTTTTAGCAGGTATGGGATACCAGAAAGACTTGGGGCTAGCTCCCCGCTACGGAGAGGGAGGGGATGGGGCTGCGCTCTGCTCCTTAAAAGAGCAGAATGTGGCTAGGGAGAGCATTCATTCTTTAAATGGCTTTGTTTTTAAGTTTGTTAGCATATGTATTGTGCTGTTATGTTGGTCAGGAGTCCTCAAGAGGGGAGGGAGGGGGATGGAAGATGTTTAAACAGTGTTTTTGATTCTGTTTCTCCCTATTGGTCTGAATTATCCATGATATCCATACTGCATCACATCAAGTCCAGATCATTAGAGGAATGCCTCTGCTTGCACTGACCAGAGGATGTTTGGATTCTGATATCAGCCCGGTTCTGCAGCCTGACAGGAATCAGGTGTTGTCCCCAGTGTAAACACAGAATTCTTCTTTGCAGCCAAACTAGTCTAATATGCATTTTGTTAACTGGAACTGGAGCATCAAAACAAAGAAAACAAATGCCCCATGCTTTGTGGGTGAGAGAACTATAAATGAAGATTATAATGCCAGACACTGACAGCCTTAAACCAGCCGCCTCAGGAACCTGCCAAGAACTTTGCTGAAAATATGTTCCTCATCTTAGCAACGGAGCTAAGACTTATCACACATCTGCCCACCTTTATTCGAATGAAGCTCCTTCTGATCTGATAGCTCAGGCATTATCAGTTTCATCCAGAACAATTTACAAACTTGGAACCTAATCCTATAAACCCTTAATCATTTGATCAATTCCACTGAAGACCATGGGACTATTTGCATGACTATGGACCACTTTTGTGGACTGGTAAGAGTTTCAGGAGTCTGTTCCTATAAAGGAAGTTGAATCCCCCATTGAAATGCAATGTTTGAGTACAATACCATAAAGCAGTTTAGGATACAGTGCTACTTAAAATTTGTCTTTTAATAAGACATACATATGCTGAAATGGCTCCTCACCCAACTCCTATATTCCATATGAACAGACTGAATATTACATATGTAACCCTTCTGCCCATCTAAGTTGGCAGCAACAAGGGCTGGGTTCTGTATC